TGAATTTCATGAATCTGTAGATTGCATTCCATTCACTTAATACTGAAACTAAACTATGAGGGAACTGATATTTCCAAGAATGATATAATACAAGGCTCATTTCTACAACTGCCGTCCTTATTTTAGTTCACTTTCATCACTCACTTCAGGGACTTACCAGGGAAAAGTCTTGTCAACTTAGTGTATGCTAATGACATTGTCCACCTAGGTTGTGGGAAGTGACCATTGAAACTGGAAGATACGAAAAGACTACTGGTTTTTGATCGCAGTGTCTGTGCCCTTTCTTCTGTTTTAAGTAGTCTAAAATGGTAAGTAATATTGGGGTGAAGCTTAGTGTTAAGTAGAAATGTGACTTCAAACGTTGTTTATAACACAGATGCATTCACTCTGTGTAATCTTACATATCTGAGCAACCATTGTGTTCTTTCCATATCACTCTTCCTTTTCCATGACATTTATGCTCATTAGAGTTCCATTTGATTTCTTTTTTCTCTACCTTTGTGTGCTACATGGAATGTGATAACGTAGACAAGTGCACTTGTTTGCAAGCTTCTCTGTTGAAAGTCAGTCTGTCAGAATGATCTATAGTCCAGGTATAATGAAATGCTAAAACGTGGATAAAAATAAGCAAAATGTCAACAAATGATAATCGCATTTTTTTATTCGGTTCTCCTCTAACTGAAAAAGAGTTGTCTTACAATAATTTCTCCTCCTACTCGAGATAACTTTTACACTCTGTCCCGTTACATCTCAGAAGTTGTACTTCTCCACGGAGTTCCATGTTAAAACTCAGTCAGTCGGCTTTGTCACTGCAGCTGCCTAGTGTCACAACTCATTACAGTGTTAATTGGCGCAAACAATTATGAGTGCCGTTTCTTAAGTACTCAATGCATTTCTCAATTCCTTAAATTGTCCAGATAAAGTGCACTGAAGAAAACATAAACCAAAAGTCAGTAACATGGACATAAGAATTAGTGCTAATAGAAGTGAATTAGATGAGTGATTTTTTAAACCTTTAGTACGCATAACTGAAATACTCATGTATCATTCACAAGATGCTTGTATCACAGAGGGCACTGAAACATAAACTAAGTCTAACATGAAATACCTTGGAGATGTTATTACTTCATAAAATGAGATACAATAATGTACGAGATGCTGCGAATTCAACACTGAAACATTAATACTGTTTTCGAACAAAGCAAATTATTATTACTGTTGCACCTAGCTGCAGTGTTAATCTGCTTATACCCTTATTATTGCTGTATCCTAAGTATTGCACTCATTTTCTCATTTCCTTGCACTGTGTAAATAGGGTGCAACAAAGAAGTTACAGTGAACTATAAGTAAGTAACGCTGACGCAAGAAATGGTAGCAGTCGAAAGAAATGAGTGACCGCTATTCAGCGGATATGATGGTGGGGACATAAGAGAACCACCCTTATCTGTGGGAGTGCGCTCTATTGCTAAGGCTCCTGAGTGTGAATGACTTCAAAAAAAATAATAATGATAAAATAAAAGCTGCCTGTATGACAAAGCTTGTGTATAAACTCTTTGAAAACAAGCTCATGGTACGTTCTCTTTACTTCAGGAGGACATCTGTATAAATCAGAATAACAGCATAAATAAGTATCATCACTCTTTTTGTTTTTCTTTCCTTCTACATATTTTATGTAATTTGGCGTTTGGATTTAAGTCCCCCAACTTCTATTCCCACTACCCTATATAGGTGTAAAAATCATTATTCGTTTTGCCCTTATGTTTTTTCAAAAATTTGTTATTCTATATTTTTGTTGTTTACTACCACAAACTTGAACTAACTGTTAGTATGTTACACTATAAAACTCAATGACTCTAAATTATTAGTAACAAAATAGGGGAATAAACCCTGCGTTTATCGCATATTGTTTGCTTAAATTATTATTATTTGCTGGCTGCCTCTGCACCTCTCTTTCTGTTTTCTTCTTCCTTCTCTTCTCGAAGGTATTGAATTGATGCACTGCAAATGAACAGTAATGCTGCTTTCTACGTTTTTATTACTTGAGCGTTATTCAGAATATTGTTGGCACACACAACGAACAACGGAAGAAATTCCATTCTGAGCACTGTTTGTCATCGCAAAGTTGGTCCCTTGTATCTGTTATTACCAAAATAATGCTGTACTTACCCTCTACTATGCAGTTTTTCTTAAAATTTTTGAACCCTTATTAATTGACAAAATGATAATGATCACAAGGCCTGTATCCTGTATGTCGTACTCTAGCACATGTTAATCACCTCTCTTCTTACCTTCCATTAACGCAACATTTCGTAATTCCCGCATGGATTTAACTGACTATAAGTATATTAGAAACTATAAATTAGACTTGAACCAATATATTGTAATCTATCCTAACAAAGTTTCTAGAGGTTTTTTTCCATTTTTCCAATTTTTGATGTCAAAAAACGGTGTTCCATTTCAAATTGCACTTGTCAAATGTGATCATGCCTGTACAAACGGTATGTTAATCATGTAAATGCTTAATTTATGTGAAATATATATATTATTATACCTAGTAATCTCCCTTATTCCAAAACAGTACTTGACTTATTTACCTATGCATTTTAACGTGTCTTCTAATTATCTTATTTTTGTCTTTGTAGACATTGCCTAAGGTGCCGTTGTACGGATCATCTGGAAGCAGTCTTTAATTTCATCTACCTTCCGCGAAGTTTGATGTACGAAAAGTCGAAATTTTACTGACTGGAAAACGCTACAATTGGTGTTACTCACGCGGCGATACGCCAGACTAGACACGTTATAGCAACGTATGCCCGTAATAACATTACCTACATAGTAAATACAATGCTAGTTACAAAAACTCGTCATTATCTTTTCATTGCGTACTTACAAGAAAAAAACGTTCACCTTACTTCTCATACTAAGTACTGGAGATTCCGCCTAGTACTCACTTTTACTTGCTCTCTAGAAAATGCTTTCTACTATATTCACAAATAACTATTAGACTTCTGTCACATGAAACGGTAAAACATAAGGCGTATGCAGTTTAGAAGTTAGGGTATATTTGCATTTATTGACACAAAATTTATGTACATCTTCCATTATTATACAAGAAAGTTCTCAGAGTAATTCAGAGTTGCTCGCAGTGCACTAATAGTATATTCATCACTGTAATTATCCTGCATAACTGCGAAGCTTCTGTTCAATTGCTTGCGAAGTTGCAGTATCTCCATGCAGGGTTTCTTCACTGAACCTTCACACGGCACATGACTTGGTAGCAACGGATCCTGCCAAAACCATCTGCGACACAGGCGAATTACTTTGTCAACTAAAGATATTAATTTAAATATTAGTAAGAGTTTGATTTACCTGTAAACTGAGGAATTTGAGTGTGACATAGCAGCATATGCCGGCAAGGTAGTCTTTGTGCCCTAAATATTCTGCAGGTACAAGTAGAATTGGTATAATCCACTTGGTGCAGGTATATGCCGTCATTTATGATAGCCATATCATCAGTATACAACTCTATGTTCATCCGACGATTACGGCCACAGTCCTTGGCAATTAACTTAGCGGCATAAGTAGTGAAGTTTCCTAATATCGGCATAACTGGTTCCGGTGCGTGGTACTTATGAATCCGACAACTTTCGACGATTACTTCAACACTACGACGCTTCTCTGTGCGTACACACCATTTATACGTGAAGGGGATCACTTCTGTGGAGATATCGTTTTAGGTGACTGTGAGAGCTTTCAACTCTATTGTTGGCACTATTAAACAGCAACAGAGTATTCGGCATATATGCCGCAGCCCACGTCTCCTTCTTAGGCACCCAGTAATGCCTGACATAATTCCATACCCTCCGATCAACCGTCCTAATAACACTAAGGTAGTGATGAAATCTAAACGGTTAGTAATCAATGCATTTACCTTCCAGGTGTCGCAGCTTTAACAAGATGATATAAAAACCTGCGCACAAAAGGATTTCGAGTCTAAATGCATCAAGTATTAATTACATTCACCTCATCTTCCTGCTGAAAGCCCGGAATACATGAAATGCACAGACGACGATTTTCGCCTGAATTTGACTGCTACGCACGGCGGATATCTCACAGTTGGCCGAATCCATTACGAAAGTTTCTGTAACGGACGTATCCTGCATTATTCTTTGGAATTGTTCCAATATCCAAGCTACATCACATGACCTCTCTCGTCTCGTCCATGCCAAAAAACAGGCCTGCCATGACCCATATTGTCTGTTACCACCAACTGAAACAGAGAATATCTGATTAAGATTTGTCAACCGTTTCACGTATAACCTACCCGTCCTTACTGGTATTGTATGTTGAGTCAATACACACCACCTCTCCATATTTCCGATATAACTGAACCTGTGATTCCAGGGTGAAGCAAATTCTTCTGGTTATCCCTGTATTCAACCACCTGACCGCTTTGCCTTATTATGCGCATAACATCTGATCTCAAAGGCATCCCAATCCGACAAAAGTGCGGAAAATCGTGTCTATAAAGAGGACAGATCTGGGACATCCAATGGAGTTAAAAGGGGGAAAAAACTCGGAAATGCTAAGACTTGTCCCCTTTGTCCCAGATCCCCCCACTTTGTCCGCTGAATCAGCAGAATGTCCCCTTTCTTCTAAATCATGTTGTCCCCTTAATCAGCAGAATGTCCCCTATCTGTCCCAATATTGTCCCCTTAATCAGCAGAATGTCCCCTATCTGTCCCAATATTGTCCCCTTAATCAGCAGAATGTCCCCTATCTGTCTCAATATAGTCCCCTTAATCAGCGGAATATCCCCTTTATGTCCCTATATTCATCGTTTCTTTTTATCCTAAAACGCAGAATTCCTCCCTATTACTCGCACCATTTTTCCTTCATTCTTTTAACGTCAAACAACTCAAAATTCAAAGAAAGGTTCGTTTTTGAACTAAATGTATTTAATTTCAGTATTCGTTAAAGGAAAAAAGGAAACAAAAATTCGGCAAGTTCATTCTTAAAGATTAATGAACATTAACAGTTACAAATGATACAGACAATTAATAATAATAATCCATGGAGCAATTCAAGAAATACAAAAATATTGTCTTCGCATTAAAAAAAACCCAAGTATGTATTGGATGGTTTACAAATACTTGGGAAAAAATAAAGCTTGAAGTCATATGAAGTCTAAATGCGGCTTGACATCTGCTCGCCGTCATCCAGTAGGTCCATTGACATATTCTGAAAATTAAAAAATTTTTGTTAGCAAGGTAGTAATCAAAGGTGACACTTATCAAGACATTTGACATAATCATATACTAGACGTGTTTATGGAGGTTTAAAAATTAGATCCATTATTAAGTACAAATAAATTATTTCTTCACGTACAAATACTCACAATGAAAGACCTTAAGTGTGAGTAATCTCTAATGTTGCATTTCCCAGTAAACATACAAAAATAATTGAGTCGTAAAATTCAAACCGTGTACTGTTGAACAAACTATCTACCTAAACACCTAGTGCATGTAACTAACAGAACTAGTTTTCATAGAGTTGACAATTACACGCTATTTACTGGCAGTGGTATCATACATTTAGACAGCATTCATTTAATGAAATTGTCACTTACAGCAGAGATGTTCTGGTCACTCTTCTTCTTGTCAACAGCAACCTGTGAAAAATAATTTGCGTTTATTGATATTCATACAAAGGTTTGCAGTATAGTAACTTTAATTTAACAGAAACTTTACTCACTCTTGGCCGGGTACACCTTTTGTAGACACGATCACGTACGTCGTGGAAGTAGGCCTTAGTAGTATCTCTCAAAGCTTTTATAACTTCGTCCTCGGGCATCGTAGCAGAAGCGAACTTGCTGACAATGACGGCTGAAAGAAATATTTAAATAAAGCACGCTTACACGTTATAACTTTATAGAAGTGACATTTTAAGAGAGCTAGCTTCTTCGATGTTCCGTACGCAGTGAAGCGACTTGACAGCTTAGGCTCCCATATGTAATTCAGCATTCGTTTCAAGGAAGACTGCGGATTGTACGATAAATTCTCAGCCAGTTTTGTCATCTGAACGTAAATGAAGGTTAACAGTGGACTTACGAAAGAATCTCTGAATTTTGGGTTTCTCACTGAAGCTTCAAGTTGGTTAAACTCTTCTTCAGTCGTCAAGGGGAATTGCAGTTGACTATTGTCAATTGACGACTTCCCGGTTCCCAAGGTGGTGACGTCGCCCGACTTATTTAATGAGACCAACTGCCCCACCGTTTTGCTAAGGAACTGTACTTCTCCTCTAAGGGACTTCACTTCTTCTCTAAGGGACTGTAACTCAGTCACCACTTTATCATTGGAATCAGTGTTTTCCTTACTGCAAAGTAACATACCTAGTCTGCTTATTTGGCTGTGTGATTGGTGACGACGTCGCCACTGGCATTTGTGGACTGGAAGTGCTGAAGGAATAAGAATATTAAATGAATGCGCTACCTGGCTGTTGGTGCCATCACAGTGTCCATGAAATTAGTGTCTGGGTATTTAGATGACCAACACACCTTCTGTGCCTCCACAGCTTCCAGTTCAGCGGAGTCATAAACGTAAGTGGCTTCAAAAATAACTTTAAACTACTTCAATTACCTGGTCTCACATCCTTACGTAAATTATGCACATCTGTGCTCGTCAAAATTTTATTAAAATTTTCTTCAGCATATTCCAAAACATCACCAACCTCAGATGTAGTCTTCACAACTGGTGCACTATTCTCCTTTTCATCCCCGGACAGGCGTCTAAAATATGGATCACCTATCATAAGACTTTTTTCACATCTGTGATTGTGAACTGTTTTCCCGGAAGAAATGATAAACTCGTCCTCCTTGTAGCGTATACGAAAGCCAGATTGGCAACCGGTGTATTTTGCACTGCAGAAATAAATAATAGAATTCCTACGGTTTGACGCATAAACATGAACCTCTAGTTTTTCGCTTCATGCCATATGTACAACGAAAGACTACTAATTTGTACTTCAAATCCTGAGATTCATAGTCCCGTATGCACTTTTTGATTACATAATGTGTATGAGTTGCCTAGGAATACTCTGTCATACATATATACATATATTACTGATTCCAGCTGATTTAGAAGATCTTCTACTTAAACCCAACTGGTATATCGGTGACTAAACATAATTCCGTCAAAAGATTTTTTGATATCCACTGATATAGGAAGGGCAGGTTGGTTGCCATTGTCTCCAGCTGCCAATGCGTCCATTCCGTACCACTGTAAATGAAAACAGAAGCTTTTCAATAAAAAAATTCATGAATAGCCAACAGAGTACAGTAAGCAACTTAAAAGAGACATTGACTTGGAAACTATAGCGGAAAAAATATAAATTCCTTACCACAGTTACCGTTTTGGAAAGTTCCTGATTATAGCCATAAACATTTACTGAAACACTCGTGAACGACAAATATGGACGCAAGTGATGAAACGAAGCTCTGCAGAAATCATTGAGACGCCACAAACAGGAGGATTTTAGGTGCACCCTATAATTTTCACATGAAACACATTCTCAAGCATCCTCCTGCACCATAACTGCCTTCAGGCCTAGAGGCAGCTTTTGACGACTATTCTTAACAAAATCAATACAGTTCAAGCCAAACAGAAACCAGAATCACGTCAAATGCAGCTACCTAGATCAAACGAAACAAATCAGTCAAACTGAAATCAACTAGACCGCGCAAATGTCCTCAAGGTAAAGGTGGAGGCGCCACTTCAAACAGGGGATATGCCTTATCAACGGCAGCCTGTAGACGGCCGTAGGTCATTTGATCAGCTGATGTCTAGCGGCTTTATTTAATGAAAAAACTTCGAAAATAGGTGATTTTTCGTTGTTTTACACACTTTTACACCTATATTGCTGCTAAAAGTTGATGTAATAAGGCGTTTTTAGCATAAACAGGAAATGATGGTGTCCTTATCCGGCCGTAATTTACGGCCAATTTACAAATTGTTGAATTACGTACTTTTCCGTTCAGAAAACGTCGAATTACTTGAATAGACATATTATAACGACTTTTAGTGAATTTTTTTGCAGTTTAAAGGATTGTACATGGACATGATGAGGTGGGATAGTTGGTTTTGTTGATTATTTGATTTACTTTGTTGTTCACTTTTGGTAATGCTGTCAAAGCTCCTACACATGCATTTCATTAGAGTAAATCTACAGAAATACTTAGAAATTATATACGCATAGTATTTACTTATTTTATAGCATATACTTGATGTTTACAGGTAGATGCAATATCCATTTTTTCTTCCTGAAAAATATTAACTGATGTAATTGTATACAATTAAACTGATTATTTCATCATTTTAAACATGTTAAGTAGTTATTTATTGCATTTACAGTGGTAGCAATGTGTACATCTTGAGAATTCTTTTGTTCTTTTTCAGATAATATCTACTTTCGGGAATTTCATGGATTTTGGCGATATAAAGAAAAAGATATCTGCAGTGTTGTTGATTATGTATTACATGTTTATTCATTAATAAATGTATTCCTCGTTATTCGTTTGTGTATTCTACTTGATGAAGCTGATTTCTAGCCTTTGGGTAAAATGTGAGGTACTGAGTATATGACGTGATCTTAAAAATGCTAGGTAAAATTAGATATTTGGAGTGGCTTATTGATAAAAAGACTATGTCGTGCTGTAATGAAGTTACTGCGTCCGCTTGTAAAAGAAAACATTGAGGTTATAAGCGCTTAGTTATATATCGTCTTAGTAGGAACCTATTAATTGACTTCGGATTCATAGTCAAACAAGGTTAAAAGTAAATCTACCTGAGATAGTGAGCCTGCGATTTCTACTTATCGTAATAAACCAAGATGGGAATAATGTACCTATACTGTTATATTTATAACTCAGTGCAACTACGGTTATCGTAATAATTAAAAACAGAATGCCTACTATTGAAATACAATTATACTTCATTAGAATACCTACGGTTCGCAGCTACAGAACACGGTACGTTGCTATCTGTTCATGTAATCGCGTAAACAACAGTTTCCCAGACGTCGCATTTACTCCTAAAAGTTTGCCTTTAATTCCTAACTTGGCACGTGTTACTAACGTCACTGGAACACAACCGCGTTACAACAGAAGGAACACAGATTCATTTAAAAAGTGTTTATTAAACAAAAATTAGATTTGAGATGTACAGATAGTCCACGTGAGTAGTCCTCCGTCACTGTCAGTAGGTTCCATCTGCGTACCAGCACATATATGTTTCTCCATAAGCCTGAAAAGGTTTAAGAAAAGCATTATTAACTTAGGTGGTACATGTATGATCTGAATAAAAAATGTTCCTTCATAAGCATTTACAAGTAATCACTTCACAAACAATATATATAAGTAGCTAAACAGTTTTCACTAAACTCAAGGGACTTCACAATTTATCGTCGGTCGATATCTAGTAGGTCCATCGAAGCATCATGAAATGAAAAATTATTTAACGACAAGTTATGCAATAGTTTCCAAAGCTTGAACAAAGATTTTAACAAAAGTGACAACAGCTTTATGACAAATAATACGAGTTCTGACAGCATTAATAATAATAACGTTCATGTTCATAGTGAATATAAAAGCAATAATAGGTATTTTTATCGCAACGAATTCATCATTAACTTAGATAGACAACTACTTATTACGCAATCATATCAATTAAATGTATCACTTAATCTTATGAAGCAGGTGTTTACTTACTTTCACTGCATTCTCGCAAAACTGATGTGGTCAACTAGCTTATTCCAAATGAACTCAAGATTAATCCTGAAAGGGAATAGAGACCCGGTTTATTTCAACTAAAAACATGTAGCCTACATGTATTACACTGCTTACTGAGACATTTGATACCTGCTTTCCGATCTTCGTGCCTGCAAAACAGTAAATGTAGGTTTACCTACATATACTGTTTTGATCTTGATATGGGATGAATTCATTGAATTCAGCAAATAAATCCTCTGATTTATCAAATCTATCATGAGCTGTAATAGTATGTGCAGTCAATTATGCACCCGACTTGATAAAACGCTCCTGGCAATTGCGAACCTAACCAAGCAGTTAAATGATGTTTGAAATTACCGCAGGTCGAATGACAAACTGGCCAATCACAAGCGAGCAAATCACTTGTTTATCTCACTCGCGGGCACTCAAAATTACGGCCGTCGACAGGCTGCCCTTATCAACGCCCAATCATACCACAAGAATACATTTAACAATACTTTGTCAGTGGTCTTAGGGACAAAAATATTAGAGAGAAAAATACAGGCTAGATGAAAGTTCCTCAAAGTTGTCTCACCACTGTACAATGTATCATTCGCCAATTTTTCGTCTGCATGTGAACGTAGCCACATACTGGTATATGAAAAAGGTCGTCACTACTACCGATTTATAAGTTCCTAACTTTTTGAAAGTCCTCCAATGCGTTCGCAGCTTCTTACATATGTGCTGCTTCCGCTCGCGCTGATTACATGCTATGAAATTCTAGAAAAAGGGCTCGTTAACGGAGCACATTATTGCCACGGCTTGTCGCAGCTAATTTGCAGGAGACATAGAATACTAGACTATGTGAGTTAGAAATATCGAAGTAGAAAATATTCTACTTGTAACCACAACTCAAGAAATGCACTGGGTCCCATGGTATCGTAGTCATTGATAACCACCATAATGGCTAACCAGTTTCGAGAGTGTACATGGAAAATTTGTAGCAGTGGACATAAATCGTATAACCGAGTAACCATTAATTTCTATAACTCGTTAACTGTTTTCTCAATGCGCTGTTTCATTAACTTAGATTTTTGATCTAATATTACCGAGCTGGCTATTAAGTCCACTACAGGCTATATTCACAACACGGCCAATCATATGGACAATTCTCTTAATCCTTTCGATGAAACTGACACAAATTCCATCGCAAGTTTCTAAATTCATTTGAAAAAGGATCAGAGAGCTGAACGAGTTAAGAAACACGATGATTTACGGTTATCACGATATATTTATGTAAAGAAATTGGCTTGA